ACAACCTTTGGCTCCACTTATGTCTTCGAGTTGACAGCTACCATCCATACTCTCCCAGTGTTTGGCGCATGTTTTTTTTTAAATAATGGGAACAAGCTGAACCGTAACATCAGAATGCCACAACGTTATTACTTGACTTAGGTGTCCCTTCTGTGGGTCTACACAGATCTTATGGTTCCAATCCAAGACCCGCTTCCTCCCTTGCCCGGTGTAGGGTGGTGGTGTCGGAGGGTGGTGGTGTCGGAGGGGTGCAAAATCACAAGCTATGATGCCCAAACTCCTCATATTCCTCCTTAGCCGGTGGCTCCAGGCAGGTGATCGCCTCGTATATTGCCTTATAACTTCCGTTTACCCGGTTCGAGTCAACGTTGGGTCATGCCTCAACTATATATCTGGATCAGGGTTCTAATGGTTACTACTTGCCTTCCCAACGTCTGTATCGGTCCCAACCTTGAAACTTATATGCAAACCGATATAAACCCATGTACTCACACGTCACTCCCGAGGGCGTAACAGCCGAAAACAACTATACTCAAGATCTTTAAAACCAACGAATGAATTTCCATAAATGAAATGGAGTAGGACTATAATAGTTTGGAAAGTTCAAGCATCTGTACAATCACAAAATACCTTTAGAAATGGAAAAGCATCAACACCAACACCGAATAAAGAGTCACACTGAATACTGAAACTCGAAAGCACAAATCCTACTCCTATGAACGGGTCTCAGGGCCTTAGCTAGCCATAATAGGGTGGAGAGGAACAGGTAGCCTCAGGTCCAGGTCCAACCGCACCAGCACCTCCAACGGTAGGCTCCGGGTTGTCATCCTCTTCCATGAGGTGATCATACTCGGCCTCCACGTTCCTTAGTGCGATTTGTGCCTCCACAGCTATTGCTTGTCCGGATATCCTCTTCACCAGTGCAAACTCCAGGGGTTCCATGACACCATCAAGCTCATCACGAATGTCCTTCGCAGCCCGGCCTTAAATAACTGACACCACTCTTCTGCAAGATTTGGTTGGCATCTCTTGGTCGTGTCCATAAACTCATCCATGTAATCTCTCACTGATGGGGCATCTGCAAAATCTGGACTAGTACATCACAACCACAAGGCACTATTGAGGATTTCCGTGGACGTCCCCGCTTCTTCTTAGGGGGTTCCCCAACATGCAGCACCAAGTCTCTGTTGTGCATCCTTCGGTCCTTCTCCGTGTCTTTCCCTTTTGAATCCCCCAGCTTGGCTAGTTTAGCTGCAATCTTTCATTCCGCTTCGATGGCAAAGCCGACCATCCGCCTCTTTAGAGCGAACTCAAGAGGCTCCAGGACACCCCTCATCTTGGCATGTATATCCTTACGAAGCCCGTTCTTATACCATTTGCACCATGTTTTTGCATCTTTTGACTTACACAACTTAGCTTGGTTGAGTAAGTCCTCGGTATATCCAGCAACTGATCGAACTTCCTGAGCATTACGGAGCATGACCCCACACTGACACTTTCCGGTGAACACTCTTGGGGGCCCTCCAGCCGCACTGGGCATCTTATATGGGCAGCCACACTTCTTCAAGGGCTTTTCTTTGGGTGAGAACTGGAACGTCGCATGGCCCTGCAGTATGCAATTCCGCATTGACATCTTATGGAAATGTGGAATCAACACCTTACGCTCTTCTGTCAACTCGTGTGGAAACCCAATCAGAAACTCTCTGAACTGCTCCTCAGGGTCAGGGAACATAGGTAACACCCGGTTACCCTCCACATCGCGGTGCAGCCTACGGCTATTCTCCCTGGTGCATCTCTGTCCATAGTGCATACACGGCAGTCTCCACTCGTAATGATCAAGCAAGTACATCATGTATCCAAAGATCCGATCAAAACCATAATAGAAGCACAAATATCGTGGGTGGTTTTGAAATCATTTCACATCCTTAAAAATAATCTAAAACTTTCTCAAACTCCCTCTTTAGAAAAAAAAAACAAAACCGAGTAATTTTGAAAACGTCAAACTGCTGACCCCTTAGGATAGTACTAAGGGATTCTAACCCCCGCTCTGATGCCAATTGTAAAATCCCAATCACTGGCGTCCGACCAGTGTTAGCGAAAGGGAACTATGGACACGTGTCTACGCACTTAGACAACCCTACGTATCCCGTTACTGGTCCCAAGAGTCGAGGATCGCACTATTTCAGTGAAATACCAGCCCACTCATATCCCACATACTTCTACTTACAGTCCTGCACACAGGGGAAAATGGAAAGGGAGAGAATGAGAAATTGGGATTACTCAATGAAGTGACTCTAGCCCGGTCTTCCCGCACGACAGCCTACATTATCTTATGCGGGAACCAGGACTGGCTAGCCACTGCAATCAATATGCAACATTCATTTCATAACATTTCCATTTAGTATTCTTAACAGTCTAGCAATCATACAATGCAAGGACTCAACCGTTGCTACACGTAGACTCGATCACTCAATCAACCTATTGACTAGACTCACCAATTAACCTAGACCTCTAGGACCCATGGCTCGTCTTACGAACGTCCCACCTTGCATATTGGCATGTTTCGTGAGATCTTACACACATCGCTGTCCCCCATCCCCTAGGTAACCACCCGCGAGCAGCTCGTTGGCCCATGTGTGACCACTCTCAGCCCACACGCAACATTTTCCACCCGCGACTTCCGCCACGTACACGGTCTAATGATCACATTTTTCTTACGACTTGGCATGACTCGATCCTAAGGCCCCTTGCATATTTTCTATCTCGCATCTCGGGGTAGGTTCATCTCATCACTACCCGTGGGTATCTCTTGTTAGGCTACTGTCCCACGGGTCACATCACCATCTAAAATCTAGACGCCCACCCATTCTCGGTGGTCCAAACCAGACATCAACAAGTTCATTGACACGTTCACACTCTCATTCACTTTCTCATTCTTGTTCTCATTCACTTTCAAATTAAATAGAGTAACTAATCAATTAAATTTATTTATTTATATAAAAATAATTATATATGCCAACTAATTTTTATATATAGAATTGTACTTTACTCCAAATGCAAGAAATATTTTTATAAAAACCCTCACCAAATACATAATAATATATTTCTTATAAATGGAGTATTAAAATTATATGTATATTTGATAAAAACATATTAATAGTTAGCTACCATTAATATTTAATGATATTATGGAAATTTTATTATTAATATTTTTCTTAGTATATTTTTACGAGTTATTTTACAAACATGTAAAATAATTATCAAATATAAAACTAATTGTAAAACATATAACACACTTTAGGCTTGTGGGTTCAGGTACCTATTGAGATGCAGGTTAGGTATTTTGAATTTTATTTCTAATTTATATCATATTTTAGATCTCATTATGTTAAATTTGTAAATACAGACTATGTTCGGATATAACACACTGGTTTTAGTTTTAACTAGATCATGATCCGCGCACCCGTGCAGATTTTATTTTTCGGATGTATTCTATATAATTTAATTTTATATAATTTCGAATTTTTCCAATTTGATTTTATGTTTAAAAAATAATCAAAACTGTCCTTTGTATTAAAAGCGTCAAGCAGTGTATTATGTAGATGTAACTGTGATGTGAAAGCATTAATTTTGTACGTTTGTTCGAAGTGCAAAATCAAATTCAAACTTAACTGTTTGCGTTAAAAATAATTTTAGATTTTAGTTATTTCTAATGTTAATAATTATCCAGAGTTTTTAAAATAATATACAAATTTTTAAAAATTTTGGCCGTAACCTTTATTTTATAGGTTAGGTCAAGTTCAAACTTAACTTTGGTCTTAAATTTGTAAGCGCGGAATATTTTATGATCAAAATTTCATAAACAATTAAAAAAATTTTATAATTTGAAAGAATTTATGTATTTAAAATATTTTTTCATTTAAATCATTATTTTAAATTCACCCTGAACCGCGTTTAAACCGGAGATCCGATAATTCAATTATGATTTTAAAAATATCCATATTTAAAAAAATCACTCAAACCCGAGACTAAGCGTGAACATATGGATAACTGATATGTAATATTTAAACCTGTAAAAATAAGTTTATTTTTGTTTTTTATATATTATTTTATTTTTTTTAATTTATCTAAATAATTTGAAAGAAAATTATGAGAAATTTTTAAGAAGTGTGAGATCTAATATCTTTCGAAAAATGGGTAGTAGTGTTGTTTGGACATAAGATTAATTTTATTGTTGTTTAGAAACATGGGTAGTAGTATAAATAAATGAGTATATTGTTTGGAAACATTGATACTAGTACAAAGAAATAAATATATTTTTGGAAACATGGATAGTAGTATAAAGAAATGAATAATAGTAATTTAATGTATGTTTGACTATAAAGTAGAAAGATGTATTTAATTTAAAAACTTACAAGATAAATATTATGTCCAGTCTAATATTTCTGATTTAATAAGATAGATTTGGATCACATCCTAAACCCCATAAAACAACCATATATCATTCGGATTTAAGTTATATTGGTTTGGTTTAGAAATATCAAAAGTTAAATCCAATATTTAAAACCAAAACATAAGAAATAAATACTTATATATATATATATATATATATATATATATATATATATATTTGAGTATTTAAACGTACTTATTTAAATACTTATTTTAGGTATCCTTTCATAATAAATATGAACATTTGAAGTACATATTTCTGTTTCAAATATTTGCATTTGTGAATACTTTGGATACTCGAATCGGTTTTGGGGTTTTTAGCTTTTTTGGATTATCTATTGGGTTTAGTTAATAACATTACAGATTTGGATATGTATTATATCACCTTACATGACAATTTCTGATATTTCTTATATTTCAAAACGGTATAGATTGGATTTTTTCTGTTTGAGTTCGGTTTGGACTAATTTGAATAAAAAGAAATTTCTATTATAAAATGTTTTCACTGAAGTTATCTCGCGCTTTGAAAGCGCGGATCAAAATCTAGTTTACTCTGTTATTTGCCAATCACATTCATGATGTGATTCCCCTGATTAGATAAAGTACATGTACATTTCTCTTTCAACTATCAAATTAATTATGTTTGGACGACACCATGACACCAACCATGAACACATGATTAGCTGTCTTAATAAATAGTTAATCATTATATAGTGATCTTGTTTTTATCCATGCTCCGGGAAACCCTCAATTAGTAAGGACGAACCACCAGGACTGGTCTGGACTAAATGATCACTAACGTGAAGTCAAGATCGGAGAGTTTAAGGAGTATTTTGGTAAGAGAAAAAAAAAACAGAAATTCAGGTAATATAAGATTTGGTTAGCAAAGTCAAAAAACCAACCATTAAAAGTTTTAACAAAACCCCTCATAAGTCTTATTAGCGAAACAGGCACACACAACACCATTTTCATAGTTTGGGATCAGCTCATCGCTCTTCAGGAATAAGAGACTTTAAAAAAAGGAAAGGAAAGAGAAAGCAAGGCATGAAGAGAGGGGTTTTGCTTTTCATCATTAGTTGATATCAGGGCCGGCCCTGAGATTTTGGGGGGCTATGGCGATTTATATGTAAAAAAAATTTTGGGGGCCTAAAAACTTTTTTAGGGGCTTATATTCATGTAATTTTCTTCAAAATTTTTGGGGGCCTGAAACAAATGTTTCACTAGGCATTGCCCAGGACCGGCCCTGGTTGATATTGGGCCATAGCTGTTCTTGAGTCTGACTTGAGGCCTCTCCAGCACTTTGTTGATGATAATGATTGAGTTGGTCCAGCGACATTGCAGCTAGTTGAGACAGCTGTTGCTGGTGCAGTTGTTGGGCTTGAACGAATCCGGGAGGCTGCTGGCTTGGATGACCACGTAAGATGTAAACTTCACGTCTAGGAGCCACACGCAAGTTTGGTCGTCGTATTTGACGCCAGTCAACTGTGTTTTCGTTCTGCGGATCAAAACAAAAGAAAGAACTTACATGTTAAGAGTTGAAAATAGATATGGGCACAGATAGCCAAAAATTCTTTCAACCAAAAGCCAAACAAAAATTCACCTAATACCCTTTATAAACATGAAATTCCAGTTCTAATTTCAGCATAAACCAAACCAAGTCAAAGTCAATTAAACCTAACCAAACCAAGAAAAGAACTAGAACTTCAGATTCTCACAGCAGCAAAACAATATATTGGTTTACCTGCTGCAGAAATGATGAGGCAGAGGGAGGAAGAACCACAACCACAGGAGCCTGATGGTTACCAACAAGAAACCCTTGCTGAAAATCCGAATGCATGTAACCATGGGGCATGAATGGATTACTTATGAAGTTACCATGATGCCCTAATGGCATCCCATGTTGATGATAGTATGCGCTTAAGGCGGCATGTTGATAAAGAGCTGTCGCTTGTTGCCCTGCACCAGGAGGAGATATACTCGCATCTCTTAGATCCTGAAAGAAAATTTTTGTAAGCAATGGTGTGAACAATTTATAATGGTTATTATCTTTTAAAATGAATTGTAGATTGCATAATAGATTTTGAAAGGAGATATTTACCATTACGTTGGTGAATAAGTTGTCAAGATTCTGCATCTGGGGATCTTCTTGAGGAGGTTCATGCTGTGCCGCTTCTCTATCAGAATCTGATGAAGCATGGTAGTTTCTAGCGGTCGAATCGATTTGATAGGATTTTCGTTCATCAGTAGCAACATTGTCTCCAAGTGCTTCTTCTTCTTCCTCCTCCCCATAGAAGTTATTGTACAGGTAGCTGAACGATGACTCCTTCTCTTTCTCTTGCGTGTATACCAAGTTATAATTAAAGCCACTACTAGCTTGGTCTGATCCTATCCTCACGTCAAAGCTACCAAACCTCAAGTATGAGCATTGCGCAGCCTGGTCAACATCAGGATGAGATGCAACTGGATTTGTTTTCATCTCGGGGACCTCATCATCCACATGTTGAGGCTCGCTAACTTGATCGGCATCAGTTTTGGATTCAGCAGATGGTTTCAGGAAAGAAGACACTGGATCAGTAACTTCTTGCTTCTCAAGTGAAGACCCTTCATCTTTAAAAGGAGCCTTGCTTCCACTCTCTTGCGTCTCTGATGAAGGAGGCACAATGACTTTCATCTGATGAAGAGGCTTACCCATTTTCACAATCTCAGCAATAGTTTTCTTCCCGGGGTTAGCCTTGACCCAAGCGGATTGATACGCTGGTTCTGGCACCGAAGAGGAAGTAGCTGGACCAGTGGAACCCGTTGGTGCTGCTTTCTTAACTTCAGCATTTTTAGGATCACTACAAAAGCAAAGGAGATAGATGATAAGCTAACACATACAAATGGTATTCAACGATGATAAGACCACATGAATAGAAGAGAACCTGTTTGGTGCTGAAGAAGAGCCAGCAAAATGGTTACCTCTTCTGTTTGCGGGTTCACTTTGAGCAAGTCTTGTCTCTGAACCCAAACCACCAACAAGTTTAAACAATATTGACTCAGATTATCAACCAAACTAAGAGAAGAAAAACATAACCATATTATTACCACTACCGCCACCTCGAGCGGTCTTGTAATTGTTCGGGATTCTACGTCTCGATGAATCTGCTTGATCATTGGTCTGACCAAAGAGACAAAACAAGAGAGAAATAAGTGGAAATGGAACTAGTCATTTGAAAATTATAACGGCATTATAATAAACAATCTGCTATAACTAACGTTTTTCTTCTTGTTTCGCTTGCTCTTCACCTCTTGAAAAGCATCTGGAAATGTTTGAAACCAAACGGCATTATAAGGAAGTCAGAATTTAACAAGCAGCGAACTATAAAAAACACATAATCAATACCAGTAAACATAAGAGAAGGAAAAAAAAACTAATTTTTATATAATTTCCATAGTCAGGTAAAAATGAAAATCGATGTTCTAAAAATTGGTTTAGGTCGATTCAAATTGATAATAATCGCAATGTTTTTCCTAAAATCCGATTTAAACGGTCTAAAAAGATCCGAATCGGTTTAGTTGGTCACAGATTGTTTTAGATCAATCTAGATTGGTCTTAAATCAATCGAAGTTGGTATAAATCGGTTAAAATTCCAGTTTAAGTTTTGATATGATTTTTAATTAATTTAAGTATTTTAAATCACAATGTTTAGATAAATTAAAACAGAGGAAAAAAAATCAAATTGAATTATGATTAATTTAATTGTATCATCATCTTTATTTTCAGTTTGTCTATAATCAAGAGTTGATCCTTTCTCCCCAACTTCGTTTCTTCGTGCAAGTTCACAAATTTGTTTGATTTTTTTTTTTCTTTGTAAATTCAGTTTTGTTTATATTAACCAAAATATTTTTTGATCAAGCACTTGAAATTAAAAAATATCCAATGTTAAATAGAATATACTAATTAAAATTATATTTTGCAAACATCTAGGCCACTCAAGGTCCTCTAGATGCTAATTCTCTACAAAACATATTCATGTTTATGAAAGTTCACCCGCGAAGCTACAAAAGCTTGAAGGAAAAAAGAGACAAGAAAAAACCTTGAGAAATGAGACTCATAACGGTTTGATTAGGATCCATGTTGCACTCCACAAGCATTGTGTAGATCTCTGAGTCGGAAAAATTCACAATCTCTTTCAGATTCTGAACCATCTCACGAACGATGCCTTGACCACCCATTCTCCCTCTCTCTCTCAGAAACAAATCGGAAATCAAAATGTTTTTAAATCACGATTCTTTCTCCAAGCTTGTGATTTTGAATCGTACTTAGCTTTGAGTATTGGGGTAAACTCCTCTTTTATTCTTACGCTCTTTGGATGTGGGGCTAATAATGGTTTTCAAAAGATTTGAATGTTGGAAACAATGTAATGAAAATGTTTATTTAGAGAAAAAAATTCATATGTATGGTCAAAAAATATTTAGTAGATTTATTACTTTGTAAAGATATTTAATAATAATTTTATGAAGTCCACCCGCCAAAACAAACGAGTGAAAAGAAAGAAAACGAATTCCGGTTTTTAATGTAGGTACAAGGTGGACGGTCTCCACGTCTGTACGGACGTTAATATAATATATACATTAGATGAATAAAAAATAATATAAATGTATAAATATATTTTAACTTTCTTTCTCTTTTACATAGATATTCTGTTTTTAATATATTTTTCTATCTTACTCATTTCATTTCTCCTTGTATTTTTTACACATTCGTTTTATTTCTTATGTATCTCTTTTTGCATTATTTTGTATGTCTTTATATACCACTCTCACTCTCTTTTTCTTTCTCTCTCTCTTAGTTGATCAAATAATCTCAAAATCTCCCAAACTTACATTCACTCTCTATCAATCACCTATATTTACTCTCTTACCCTCGTCCTTAATATGATCCTCAATATTTCACTTTAAAACTATTTCTATCTCTCTTTGGTTGTAAAATTTTCACCAGATTTTGTTAAATCTTTAAAACACTTTCACATAGTATTAATAAATGATTTCAGAATCTATCTCACTTATATTAAGTCTCTCACTTATATTCACTTTCATCTTCATTATGATCATAACCGACTCTATAATCCTTATCATCACCATATCTTCCTCTCTTACATATTTTTTTTTTATTTAGAATTTAATATAAAATCACAATTGGCTGACCAAAAAACATTCATTAAAAAATTCTCTCCAATCTTCACACTATCTTATCAAACATTGATTCCTTTGACCAAGATTTTCATCGAAAAAATAAATATCTTACTATTAATTTTGTTTTTTTAATTACTTCATTACATACATATTTTAAGTAAATCTAAATAACTGTATTTCAAAAAATTAAATTTTGTTAAATAATTATATAACATAAAATATCTTAATTCTTAAATGATGTGATGTCATTATTTTAGACATAGATTAATATTAACATGAGATTCAACAGTTTTAATATATCAAACTAACATGTTTCTAGTTTTATAAATTTTGTTATAACTTTGTTATCATATAATTTAAAAGTTTATTTACACCGCAAAAAAATACTTATCCTTATTTTAAAATAATTTATTATAAATTTTTGTTTGCGTTATATTTTGCATCTTCAACATTAACAATTGTATAACTTATCATTTATATTTATCTTCCTTTCTCAATTTTTATTTATGTTGTATAAACACCTAAAAATAACTAGTTTACAATTATATTAATACGTAAAAAATATTTTTGTATACAAATAAAAAATTATGTATGTACAAATACAAAATAACGAAGAATACAATAAAAGGTTTTATTATTATTCACTCATGTTTTTATTTATGTGTCTTTTCTTTTTTTTTCTTAATTATTAAAAATAAACATGCCAATTTTATTATACTTAAAGCTATATGAATTATATGAATAGAATATTAACTCTAGTCTTGTATTAATATAATGTTTTGATTTTTTGTAATTTTATATTATAATAATTTTTTCATTTATTCATATTTTTTAAAATGACATACCATATAATTTTATGTTTTTAATATAAAATACTTAAATAATTTTTGAAAGTGATAACTCAACTATACTATCGACATTTATCTCTGGAAAATGATAGAATATTTTTAAAATTTTACATTTGACTGTTTGCATTCATTGAACATATTTTAAGAATACTTATATATAGTGAGTGAGTATAAAAATACTATTAGTTTTCTGTAATATATATTTTTTTATCCATTATTAATAGAAAAAATTTAAAATCGTTTATATACTTATTTCTATAATATAATATGTATTTATATGGATATTCTAAATTTTTATAATGGAATATGTGATATTTTATTGTTTCTATAAACAAATTCTATTAATCCTATGTATTTAAGATGATTAATTGTTTGTTTGGTAATATATATTAGATTAGATAATTCTAGGATTAGTTTCTTTTTAAAAAACTTTAATTAAATAAATAAAAATTCAAAATCCAATAACCAATCAAATTAAGAGAATTAATTATACATTGCACCTATGAATGACACGTAAGCAAAATTCATTAAAGTGACTTCTCATTTAATATATATGGGATATAAGATAAATACGTTACTGAAATCCAACTTAAATAATACACGTAATATGGGCCTAAAGCCTATAAAACTTAGTTTTTCAAAATGGATGTTAGAATCGATCCCTTATACATTATTTGTGAAATGATTTTGCCACATGTCCTCTCTAGAATCAGTTTCACAAAAGAATACTGACATGTCTACTAGAATTGATGACATGACATATGATTAAATATGACATGGACAATTATATTTAATGTTAATATATATTTTTGGAAAACTTTATAGAATATGGTAACAACTTATATATTCATTTAATGTCGATTTATATTTTTGGAAATATTTTTAAAATATGGTATTAACTAATAAATCATCATTAAAATAAATATATACCAATATGGATTAAAAATTTCAAAAATATCATTTAATTATATATTTTAAAACTATATAACTTTATTACAAAAATTTCAAAAATGTATACATTTTTTGAAAACTATTAAAATTTAATCCTAAAATTATTAATTTCTTATATATTTAAAAATTTAATAAATATTGTCTAGTTTTAATTTTTGATAATTATTAAATTTTCTACAAATTTATTTAATATATTTAATTAAACAAATATATAAAAAATAATATAAGATTATAATTTTAAATATATACATGCATATTATTAAATATAATTTAAAATAAACAAAAATATTTTTATATTACTTTTTATGTTTAAACAAAATTTTGTATTAAAATAGTGATAGGAAAAAGAACTCATAAATTATCATTAAGATAATAAATAATATATAGTAGAAATATAAATATAATAATATTACAAATATTGAAATATTTTTAAGTGTATTTCTATAATTATATATTTTTTATTAATAATTTTTTTTTCAAAATTTTATGCAGTATTTTTTAAAATTAAAGTTTTCTAATCCCAATACCATTAGCTTTATTTATAACATCTATAAATTTTAGAAATATTATTTAGTTTTATATTTTGATAATTATATATCTAACAAAATTTTCTCTTAATAGTATAGAATCTGATTTAATATAATTTAACCAAAAGATAAAAGATACATATATATTATTAAATATAAATTTAAGAAAAAAAATTTAAGATAGATCTAAAAAAAAGTTTTAATCACAAATATAGACCTTAAAATAAAAATGACCAAGATAGACTTAAATGTTTTATCAAAAATAAGTAAATATATACTTATATCCTTTGGGTTAACTAATCGTAAACTTTTTTGTTTAAAGTTCAGGAGTGGGGTTTTGGGGATAGGATTACAAATTTAAAAAAGAAAATTTAAATTTTCAAAATAAAAAATGTTGTTTAGGTCATTTTAGTTTTAAGATCTATTTTTGTGAAAAAAACCTAAAAAATTTCTATTTGAGAGAATTGTCATATATTTAAATAAAACTGTTTATTTTCTCTTAATTTTACCTATAATTAATGTAAAATTAATAATGTAATAAAATAATAAATTTAAAAATTAATTAAATTTTATTTTTAAATATAAACTTATTTTTAAAATTTTTATTTCTGCACATGGTGCATGAAGCCACCTAGTTACATTGTATAAGTAAAGGGTGGACTTTATAAAATTATTATTAAAATATCTTTACAAAGTAATAAATCTGGTCATTAAAAGTGAAGGAAAATTTGGTAGGAGCATTAATAAAGTAAGAGAACGGTTCTTTAAAAGGGTGGATAGTATATCAGATTAACTTTTTGTTATGATTATGGCCGGCTCTGTGACTAACAAGGATGACCGGAGCTGGCCGATGAAGGAAGTTGAGGAGAAAGAAGATGAACCGGAGATCAAAGGAAACCTTGTTGTGTGTGTCATATGAGATATGATATAGTATGGCTTTTTGCAGCCCTTGTGCAACGATACTACCCATCAGCCTTAATTGAGAGTCTCAGTTGCCTCAATCGACCAACAAAATTGATAACTTCTGAGATAAATATGTTACTTCTTAACATTGCTTTAATTACTTCTAATCTTTATTTTAATTCATTTTCCAAGTAAATTAACGACACTTTGTACAAAATGCATGCTACACAAACGAAAAGACAGAAACTACTAGTTACTCTCAAAAGCCAACAGCAATCTAAAATTGACCATTTTAGATCTCGGAAATATGAGTTGAGCGAGCTAGTTAGGAAATATTTAAATTACGTGATTTTTTCTATGAGTCAGTTTGTAATCAGACTGCATTCCCATTTCATGGATTATGGATTGAATATATAAAATATATTTTAAAAACAGCATAAAACTTCTTTTATTCAAATGGTCTTTGGATTTGAGAGGAAAAAAGGTTTTGAAAAAAACAACAGCATGCACTTTTGGAACATATGTTTCTTGGACTCATGCTCATGCTCATGCTCATGCTCATGCTCGTAAAAGATATGTCCAGATATTTAATTAATTTTTTATCTCTTAGACTATTTATATTGGTTTTACTTATTCAACATCTTTTTTTTTCTTTTTTACCTTCCACCTCATCTCTTATCTCTTCCACGTCATTATTAAAATTTATTTTTATTTTAATCAATATATTTAACAAAAAAATAACATTTATATGTTATATTCAAATGAAATGAAACTAGTATCTATCTATACATCATAAAAATGTTACATTTTG